TCAATTGCTTTACTATAGTTGGTATTTGCAATAGTTTGCAAGACATTGTTTGTTTTCTTACTTTCCCTTTCCATGACTATGTAAGTTGAGCAATTACTTTTTGCACGAAGAATTGGCACTCCAGATTTGTGAATAAACTTCTGTGGATTTGGGTTGTTCTAGATTTTTTCGTGCTATATGGCCATGTTCTAGAGGCATTTTCTTCTGACGTTTCACCTGCATCTATGGCAAGCATCCTCAGAGGTAGTGAGGTAGTGCATCTATGGCAAGCACTTCACTACCTCTGAGGGTGCTTGCCATAGATGCAGGCGAAACGTTAGGAGAAAATGCCTCTAGAACATGGCCATATAGCACGAAAAAACCTATAACAACCCAGTGATTTTGGCCATGAAAGCCTTCGACAATACATTCTGTGGATTTGATTAATACATTCTCTCTAGGAATCTCTTGATGCTCAAGGGCAACTAATGTCCACAGGTTAGCCCTGGAGGACCTAGAGATTCTTAGACAGGTGTTCCACAGGTTAATATATTTTTAAAAAATCATGATTTCTCCACTTTTGCAAAGGTTTTCTGCTCCAAACCCTTGCAAAAGTGGAGGGCTTTCTTTACCACCTAGGATTTCAGCCCATATTTTTCATTATCATCATCTGTGTACCTTTTGTTCACCATCTAGATTAGGCATTTGTTTGTGCTACAATTAAAAGCCAAGTAAGATTAAAGCAGTCAGGTGGATGAAAAGCAAACAATGGTGCTCTTCCAAAACCAGCCAAGAACCCAATTGAATCATCTTAAATAGTGACAGGCTGTCCCAAAGTTTGAGATAAAAGCAAGGCAGCCTTTTGTGACCAGCATTTTTTTTTGTGACCTCAAGGGAATGGGAATCACAGGAATAGAGTGTACAAATCTCTACTTACTTTGTGATCCAGTGTTCAGCAGGTGCTTTAGAAGGGATATCTGGGATACGGATGGCCAGGATGTAGTTCTGGAGCATGTCATTGTGGAGAAGGGTGGTGATTACATCTGGAAAATGTGTAAGAAAAATGATAGCACTGAAACGTTTGAGAGCTATAGTACAGGAAGCTCTGGATGAGAAAGGCTCCAAGCTAGTTGAACTCATGGTTGTTTCTCTACTCAAGAGGTCTGGGCATTCAAGCCATAAAACCCTGGAATTTCCCTGTTGTTCAGAAGAGACAATGCTGGTTTAGATGGATTCCAGACAAATAGCTTCCTATATATTTACAGAATTCTGTGCTTCCAATTTATAACATTTCAGGACCTCTTTGACTGCCATGGCTCCATTCCAGTTTGAGATTTCTAGGTTAGTGAGTTGCTTAGAATTCTCTGCTGAAGAGGTCAAAGGGAGTCTTTTTTTTTCACAAGAGTTAAAAATAGGAAAAGCTCCAGGTCCTGATGGACTGATGGCACATTACAAAACTACGTGTTTCTTTAGCAAACCATGAAACAATGCATTAAGGCATAATATACCAGGTTCCTGGAAATATACTGACATAACTTTAATCCCCGACGATGACAAAAACATAGAGGATGCGAAAAGTTATACGCCAATATCCTTGTTGAATAATTGTTGATTTTTGCTTCAATTCTAACACTGAGATGGAAAAACTAATTACAAATCTCAAAACATGAGGACAAAGCAAGTTTTTAAAACCAAAAAGATACTTCTGTGATAATAGCAGGAATGTTTTGGACATTAAAATACTGCGAGGCTGATAATGAGGTGAATTTTTTTCACTATTTTTAGATGCTGAAAAAGCATTTGACAATGTGTCGTGGTTGTTTATAGTTGACATTTGGACCAAATTTTCAAGAATGGATCTAACAGATCTCTGACAACCTCTTCAGAGATCTAACAGATCTCTGACAATCAAAGTGCTCAAATCTTAATTAATTGAGAACTATTTAAAATACAGAAAGGAACTAGACAAGGATGACTTTTCAGCTGTTTACCATCATACAGTTTTTTCCTAGTATTCAGGTGGAATATATTTTCCTACAATTTGAATCCATTGCATTCTAATCTCTGGAGCAGGAGAAAGCAAGCTTGCCTCCTCCTCAATGGGATGTTCTTTCAACTATTTAAACATTGCTCTCATGTCTCCTTCTCTCAGCCCTCTCTTCTTCAAGCTAAATATACTCAGCTTCCTAAGCCACTTTTCAGAGGGATTCATGGTTTCCAGACCTTTGACCATTTTGATCACTCTTCTTGGGACACCTTCCAGCTTGTCCACATCCTTCTTGAATTTTGGTGCCCAGGACTTAATCTAAACTTGTAATTAAAAAATCTCAGTTCTATCAAAGGGATTCTGGAAGCTCTGGTTGACCCCTAAGACAGTAGGGCTGGGTGTCCATTCTCTCAAGTAGGTCTAGTTTCACAATTCATGACCAAACTCCTCCCATCCCATCAGCTTCCTATCTAGCATCCTCATGGGAAGAAAAGCAGGATATAATCAAGTAAGTAAATAAATACATATAACAACCTGAAGCAACCCTGTTCATAAGAGAAAAAGCCAGATCTTGAACCACTTCTCAGGAAGATGTCCCCAGATTACATGCCATGAGTGTTTTGTTACAGAAAAGGGGGTTTGTGATGAAGATAAATGATGCACTGAATAAGTTTGTGACTGCAACTTTGCAACTTTTGGAGCTTAAATGTTGTCAGGAATCATTAAATTAAAAAATGAAAGGTACATTACATTCTCTGTATTCATGGTTTCACCTACCCTACTTACATCTGTCAAATGACCTTAAGGCAGGCATGGTCAACCTTCAACCCTCCAGATGTTTTGGACATCAACTCCCACAATTCCTAACAGCCAGTAGGCCAAAACACCTGGAGGGATGAAGATTGCCCATGCCTGTTCTAGGTCTTCCAGACAGAATAGCTAGGATTGGTTTCCAGCAGATATTATTCATGTTTTCCTGCTTCCATTGTAAGTTCAGGAGTACATCCTCTGTCACGGTTCTTAATGGATGTTGGCCCCATCTATGTGACAATGGGGCAGAGTGCACAGTGTGGACTCATTAATGCTCAATAACAAGTCATTGGACTCTGCAAAACACAGTTTAGGGGTTCTCTTACATCTCCTGAGGGCTTCTGGGCTGAAGACAGAAACAACTGCAGGTGAAGTGTCTTTGGGGACTCCTTGCAAGGGATTGACCAGGCTGACGAAGACAACCAGTCCTAGGAATCCCCACATTTTGCCGCCTGGATACCTGTTCAGGAAATAGAATCACATGTTAGTTAGAACTTCGAAAGTTCATAGACTCATGGAGATTGAAGGGACGTTAGAGGCCATCCAGTGCAACCTACTTCTGCCAGGCAGGAAGACACAATCAAAGCCCTCCCACAGAAAGGTCATAATAGAATCCTAGAGTTTGTAGAGACTCCAAGGGCCATGCAGTGAATGAAAGACAAGTTTTCAAAGTCAAGTTTTCAAAGATCTATATAAATAAAAATGTAATGTTTGTTTGTGGGATTAACAGAACTCAAAAACCACTGGGAGAATTGACACCAAATTTGGACACAAGACACCTAAGAACCCAATGTATATCCTTCACTCAAAAAAACACTGAAAAACACAGTGGAAGGGACTTAAAAAGTCCCAAAAAGCTAAATGACGAAAAGCTAAATGACAATACAGAAAAAATGGAAGAAAGAGGGAGGGAAAGGGAGAAAAGAAAGAAAGAAAGAAAAGAAAAGAGTGAGGGAAAGAAAGAAGAAAAGGGAGAAGGAAGCATGGAAGCAAAGAGAGAAGGAAGGAAGAGAAAGGGAGGGAAAGAAAAAGGGGGAAGGAAGGAAAGTTAGAGAAGGAAGGAAGGAGAGAAGGAAAGAAAAAAGGGAAAGAAGGAAGGAAAGGGGAGCGAAGGAAGGGGGGAATGTAGAGAAAGAGGGAGGGAAGGAAAGAAGGAAAGAGAGAAAGGATAGATAGATAGATAGATAGATAGATAGATAGACAGATAGATAGATAGATAGATAGATGAAGGAGGAAGGAAGGAAGGAAGGAAGGAAGGAAGGAAGGAAGGAAGGAAGGAAGGAAGGAACTAAGGAGAGAAAGAGGGAAGGTTAGCTACAGCAAAGCGTGGCGGGTACAGCTAGTTTTAATAAATATGGTGTATGGTTTAAATGAAATTGTATGAAAGATGTATGTTGGGAGTCCATAGAGCAGTGGTTCTCAACCTGTGGGTCCGCAGGTGTTTTGGCCTACAACTCCCAGAAATCCCTGCTAGTTTAACCGCTGTTAGGATTTCTGGGAGTTGAAGGCCAAAACATCTGGGGTTAAGAACCACTGCCATAGAGGCTAAGGATGCCATCCTAAGATTGATGCCTGGAAAACTACAAAAGGGTGATGAAGGAAAAACTGCTAAAGTTGCTGATGAGAACCGCTGACACTGATGACCAGAGACAAATGATTACTTTTGGTGGAAAACAACATGTTTACATTGCCAGAGACAATGACTCTTTTAAATTAAGGAAGCAAACACAGTTGTTCCTTATGTTAAGAAGGAAAACCAATATCAGTTAAGAAGGAAAGCCAACATCTGTCAGAAACTGATGGAGTCAGCAAGTTTAGCTGAAAAACAACTTGTCAATCATTTACAACTTTTTGGAACAATTTGCCGCCCTGAGTCCCCTTCGGGGTGAGAAGGGCGGGGTAAAAGTAAACCAAATAAATAAATAAATAAATTTCAGCAGAAATGACGAATAATAATAATGTTTTTAATATATTTTAATCCAATTTTTTATCTCTTGCATAATGTTGTTATAATGTATTTTGTATGTTGTGAGCATCGAATTCCTGCCGTTGTAAACCCCTGAGTTCCCCTTCAGGGGTTGAGAAGGACAGGGTAGAAAGGTTGGAAATAAATAAATTGGCTATATATGAGACTTTCTCATTTTCCAAAATTGTGGCGGACAGGAGGAGTCTGGTCCACCCGCCATCTTCTCCAAGGGATGGAGGAAGGTGGTGTATTTGCAGAATGGCAGACTTGCTGGGAACACAATCCTGCCCATATTCGGGGTCTCTTTTCCAGGAGAAGGAAGAAGAGATGGTAATGTATGCATGGTGAGGAGTAAATGTGTATATGTGTGTGAATGTTGAGTAAAATGTAATATCCCCTTGGGGTTTTGTATCCAAGGTTGTCTCTGTGTATACCTTCTTTCTATGTAAAGTGCCTATACTTTGTCTCACTGTGAATGGAACAAAAGAACCTTTTAAAATGTTTTTTAAAGTATTCATGACACTCTCTCACACCTCCGCATTGCAACACAGTTTTCATAAGGCTGGAAACTTCATCCTGTCAGCAGAATGGATCTCTGTCACTCTCTGCATCTGCTGACTGTTAAGTTAGTTTTGCAGAGTTGTGTCAAGAAATGATGCATAATAAGGCTTACATAACTACATCAGTGATGCAGTGTACA